GTGTGTGAAGAGTGGGAGAAGAGGGTTGCATTGACAATCCAACACAATGGGCAGCACATTGAACACATTTTATAAGTGGTCAGAAACTTGTAAATAACTCATGAAAGAATAAAGTTACATTGAAACCAAGCACACCATTGTTTTTCTTGTGACATTACCAATAAGTTTGATGTGTCACATGGCCCTCTTCCTATTGAAAAAACAAAAGTTGTATCCAAGATGGCCGACTTCTAAATGGCCACCATGGTCACCACCCATCTTGAGGAGTTTGCCCCCTCACATATACTAATGTGCCACAAACAGGACTTTAATATCACCAACCATTCCCATGTTATTACGGTGTATCCATATAAATGGCCCACCCTGTAGAAACCAAGAGCAGAATGAATAACATTATTAATCTTGTTTTGAGAACATATGTAAATTTTGGATTTAGAAACTAAGCAAGAAATATGCCTGTAAAGGTTCTATGTCATGCAGGTCATCGTAGTCTAAGAAGCTTGGAACAAAAACCGTCTGGGCTTCTTTAAGTTGCTTGACGACGTCTCACCTCTCATCCTAGAAGCTTCTTCAGTTCTTGGGTCAAATGGTGGAGAGTCCCAGATTTAAGCCCTGTGGGAGTGTACCCCCAAGAGGGACAAAAGGACCCCCTAATGATCCTCTACCTAATCACATGAGCCAAGGTGTGAAAACGTGTAGGTTACAATCGGCCAAGGTTTCGGGTGAGCTCATTGTGAAACCTAGTTCCACCCTATCATGTGATTTCCTGAGAACAAATGGCCCAAGGTCCAAGGTCAGGGTCACACTAACTAGGGAAAAGCTTTAGATTGCTTTAGATCATCTCCAAATTCTCCAAATAAAGCAATATATTAGTAATTCAGTGGCATACAGCAGGTAAAATAATTAACTAAACACTTCACCAGTTTTCTAAGTAAATGTATGTCTAAAGGTGCTATTGACATGAAATTATCACCTGATGTCGAAAATAACCCATCCAAATCATACATGCAAAGAAATCAAAGCATAACTAAGCAACATATCAAAAAAATACATTTTGAGTTGTCTCATATTTTAATGGTTTATGATTAAGTTTAGTAGGTTAGGGGGGCCTATAGGCAGCCCCCTGAACTGTGTTTTTGGACTTTGTTCACCTGGTGTCATGGTCGGCCACCTGAACTGCTTCACCCTGAACTCTTGTGCCATCGACCTCTTATGCCCCTTGTTTTGGATTTGGTGCCCCGGTTTGTTTTGGTTATGTTTCCTCTTTTATTTTGAAGAGGTCTGGTGTTCCATGTTCAGTGTGTTTAGTTCCCCTGTATTTAGTCTGTGTGTTTTCATTCATTCCTTGTCTGTTCTGTTGCTTGCCTGCATTACTTCTATGTCACTATGTTCATTCCATGTTTCAGGTTTCTCCATGTTTCCATACACAGACTTCACGTTTCAGGTTTTCCACATCAAGGTTTCCATGTTCATGTTTTTATGTGTAGTTTCAGTTCATCTCAGTTTAGGTTTAGTTTCATCATTGCCCTTTTGTTTGTATTGTTTTCGCCACCTTTAATAAACAGCTTGTTTTTTGTTATGCTCAAGTTTTGTCACCATGTGTCTGCACATGGGTCCACCTCATCACGCCATACAGTCTGCCTACCAGATTGTGACAGAAATACGTTAATGTAAATTACCTGCATGCTGTTAATTTGCATGAGCAACAAAAAATTGCAGCCAATACAAAGCAAAGATGAAAACCAGCCCAGACTTAAAAGCAATTGCCACAATTCCACATGTTTCTACTTTAGAAACATGAACAGGTAGAAATGGAGGCTGCAGTCTGACTGCTCATACTTCATGTGGCCTTCAGATTAGCTCAAGAACAGAGAGCTTCATGAAGCTGTGATGCAAGCTCCATGAAGTGCCATTAGCTTGAAGCTGTTTCATTTCAGAGCAGCTGCAGCCAAGACTTACACCACAAAGTGGAATGGAAAGCATCATATATACAGTGGTGAGGGGCAAGCCAGCGGTGGACTCTAGAGCAAAGAAGTGTTCTCTTGAGTGAATTATCACACTTCTTCATCTGTCAATCCAATGGATGAGTCTTGGTTTGCTAGTTGCCAGGAGCACAGTACTTGCATGACTACACTGTGCCAAGATTAGTTTGGTGGAGGGGGTGCAGTTGTTTTTCCAGAAGTTGGATTCAGTGCCCTAGTTCCAGTAAAATGAGCTGTTACAACCCAGTAAAGTTCCATTTATTTTACAATTAAGGCAAATCTACCAATTAGGACAAAAATTAAACACAGGGAAGCTCTAAGCGTCAGAGTCTCCAAGGCCAAAATAACAAACAAAACGACCCTTTCTAGCTAAAAGAAAACCCACACACACACACACACACACACAAAAAAAAGACCACTATCTGTACGAAAACAAAGTACAATTGCTAAGCTACCTGTCTAGCCCCAAGAACAGGAGAAAAAAAAGCTCAAACAAAGCAGTGAAGTCCTACCTCCTTCAGTGTGGATTACTCCAGTTTCTGTTGTAATTAAAAAAAGAAAAACAAAGTCAACCAAACCCAGGGAAACGGGAGAAAAAAGGGTGTGGCATTTTGAGCTGGCAGTTTTTATGCAGTGGTTGACAAGCGGCAACACATCTCAGCTGTGTGAGACAGACCTGAAACACAGGAGAAGGCTAAAGACCTCTCTCACATGGGGAGAGCCCCTAGAGGTCAGCGACCACAGCAGGAGCTCCTAATGCTTCAAGATGCTAAGACATTTTCAACAGTTTTGTACAATTTCATGCTTTAGAGTAATTTCACACTTCTAACTTTCAATTTTCATAGATAGGGAATTATAGTGGAACCAGAATTGGTTCTATCATGGGATCTTGTAGAACTCCTTAGTTATCATTATGTATGAAAGACCCCCCATTTACATGAACAAATTGGAGTCTCTAACATCAAAGGATGGGAAACCCACAGACCAGATAAGGTTTAGTTTTTAGTTTTTAAAGCTGAAGATGACAGCTCTGGGACTATCAGACTACATCTGGCTTAAATTTTGGTTAAGAAAGATATTGGTTTTGTTTGTTTTTGTTTGTTCTTGTATTACAACAGTTGTTGTATTACAATAGAATAATTTAGAAAGGCAAAAACACACCAGTACTTGAAACAGGCACACTGTTACAGAAGTATTTACTTGTAAACAACAAATATCACTGGTAAAATTATAAAATAAATGTTCTGGAATATCAATATCATAAGGCAGATATTGTTTTTTTATACAAGAAACACATTTAAGCACTAAAATTTAAAATGGGCTGGGTGAAGTATGTATTCCACATCTCACTCCCAAGCTCACATAGTGGAGTTATGATACTAGGGAATAAGGAAATACATTTTTTGCTTTATTAAGAGACACAATGTATCATTTACAGTTGGAGAAAATTAAATTTTTATTAAGAGATAATGTTAAACAGTTTTACCTAATTTGGCAACCCGTTATAGATTACTTTAATAAGTAAAACTGGGAGGTATGGCCTCCTCCCATATCTGCCCCAAGATATCACCCTGATCAAACACATAGATCTTTTAATTTAATGGTTTCAATACATCATAAAAGTTCAGCCATTATAACTTTAAATGCAGAAAAAGCATTTGATAAAGTAAATTTGTCATTCCTGTCCTTGATATTAAATACATTTAGAATTGGAGATTCATTTATTAACTCGTTTAAACTATTTTATACATGACATTCTTGACCTCAAAGAACTTCATCTTACAAGGAGGTACAAGGCAGGGATGTCCACTTTCTCTGTCCTTGTTTTCCATTTTCATTGAACCTGCAATTCATCAAAACTCTACCATAAAAGGAATTAATTTAACAGAACATGAAATTTTGTTTATACGCTGATGATTTTCTCCCATATCCCATATCCCTCAAGGATATGGGTCTTGAGCTCAACTCACACGGAAGGGCAAGGGCTGTACTAAAACTTTGATGCTTTACGATGTTTTCGCTGATGTCAGCCTGTAATTGCTTCAGCTCAAGCTGTAATTGGTATCTACCATCACATAAAATTTGAAAATGATATCTTGAAAACTGTAGACCCTAGAATGCTATCAAACAGACAGACAAACACAGAACCAAACACAAACTCACTCACTTCAGGGGATGGATTACATAAAGAGTACACAAGTCACAGGTGAACAGAATCAAACTAACAAGATAGGGATTGTGAGGGAGTAAAACTAAATATAAGGCACAAGAGATAACAGAGTACCAAAATAAAACAGGAAGTAACAAGACAGAAAAACACACGCTGAGTAACTAAAACTTGAAAACAGACTACAAGAAACAGAGGTAGGTAAAATCAATTGAAAATCCAAGGTGTCATGTAGACCCAGGACCATGACACAAGGACTTAAATATTACCTACAATGAAAGTAAAAAGCAAACCTGAAATGCAAAACTCAAAGAACCATAAACTTTACAGAAATTAAAACAATAGGTCAACAATCCAGGACGGTGACAAAAGCAGAAACTCATAATTAGTTAATGTATGTAAAATAAAATACACCTGCCCAGTGAATACACTTGTCTAATATTTGTGTTTTAAGCAATTCCGTTTCAACCATGTTAAGTTTGAAAAAGAAATGTTTAAATGGACCTTTTAATATGACTTACTTTTATTGCATTATTTGGTGTCATTATATGTTAATTAATGCCATGTTAAACTGATTTTGATCACAACACAGTTCCCCGGAGTATTCACCAAACATTTCTCTCAACTCCTTGTCATATAAGTTGAATCTAGTTTGGCTGTATAACAACAAAGGAAGTAAAATGTTATTCCTTTGCACTGTTGATAAGGAGAAATGAAACTCGTACTTTGGCCTGATCCACTATCAATAATAAAACCTATAACCCTTTACAACCTGCCATAAAATAATATTACTGGGGACAAAAGAGGGCGAGGTAAACAGCAGGTTCCTCTTAACACCTGTTGTTCATGTGTTCAATTCAGTGTCGGTTTTCAGGTTTGGGGAAGAACAACTGTGCCGACATGGACACGTTGAATAAGATTTGTGTGGTCCTCATTCTATCCATTTTTGTTTGTGTCATCACTGGAAGTCCAATAGGTGAGTGCAGCCTGAATAGATGGAAAGAATGTTATTTTGTACCATAAACAGCTGGAAAAATGATGATGATTGTTTTCAGTCTATGCTGAATATCTTATTTTTACTATATACATATATTACATTATACTGATAATGGAATCATTAATAGGTTTTTCCAATAGTTACAAAAATCAAACAGAAATACATGGTATTTGTGTAGTTATAGATGATAAATTCTGACAATGGGATACCTGGATTAATAGTAAACGTTTTGAGCTATCATTAAGTCCTGCAGGGTATCAGGCTATGCAGTGAGTAATCCATAGGTGACACCTTTTTCTACCCCATACTAAATGTACCATAAAGCTTTTTATTTCTGCTTAGACTATAGCAATGTCAAATTGTGCTGATAATGCTTGATTTCAAACTCATTTCACATTTCAGTATCTGTGTTTCAAAGTCCAGTTTAGACAAGATTGTGTTGTAGTGTGTGAGAGAAAAGCTACATTGATCATTTTAATGCCGATTAAAAAAAAATCTAGACTATTTTTAACTCTCACTGGTGCCTCAGTTCTTGTTTGTTTGTGGGAACTGAAGTAGCATTTGGATCCAATATAACTAACAACATTAAGCTTAATTTAGCAGTAAGGATCGATTCTAATTAAGTGCTTTTATTTTTCATATGTATATTTTGTTATTAATAGTATTTGTTTTTTGTTGGATTGTTTGTTTGTTTCTTTTATGTTTGTTGTCTAAAACCATGAACGTGATATTAGGACCGGAGTAGGCTACTAACAGATTTTGCAGTTTTGTGTTGGAGTAAATTATTCACAGATTTTTCCCTGTCAGTGTGTCTTGTTTGTGTCATGGAAGTTTGTTTAATAAAACACAAGCACTTGATGAGTGTCTTTGAAATGGGTTTAATTACAAGCTGCAGCTTCCCCCAGGAGGCCCCCTTCCTCTTCAAGGGTGAGACAGGGGTCTCGAACTCCAGGCCTAGAGGGCCTGCAGGTTTTAGATTGCACCCTGGATCAACACACCTGAATCAAATGATTAGTTCATTGCCAGGCCTCTGGAGAACTTCAAGACATGTTGAGGGGGTAATTTAGCCATTTGAATCGGCTGTGTTGGATCAACACACATCTAAAACCTTGAGGCCTGGAGTTCGAAACCCCTGGTCTAATGTCTCTAATGTCTAATGGTGCCTGGGTGTGCTAGTCTACCTCTAACTATTACAATACTTAACTGTGTGGAATAAAGTATAAATCAGATATATGATCCTATCCTTCATTTAAAACTAATACCTATATATTATTGTCAGAACATGTGATCAATCCCCTAAGGTAAAATACAGTGGGGCAAAAAAGTATTTAGTCAGCCACCGATTGTGCAAGTTCCCCCAC